TTTTAACACACTCCTCATTTTGTTATTCCGTTTGTCCTTTTGAAGTTTAGCATAAACTGAAACTTATAACTTCAAAGAAACAAATCTAATGTAAGAGGGGTACAGCAAGTCTTAATCGGAAAACAAATCACTAAACGGTATATTGCATCTCCAAAACAAATATTATATCAAGGAAAGTTAATAATGTCTTAAATTATTTTTTATCATGCCCAATAATTGTCTTTTCGCAAGTTACTAGAATTGGAGGAATTCAAATTCTATGGTACACATAGTGACACACAGAGTCAGGGTAAAACCATTTATATAACAGAACTTCTTGCTTGATATAGGTTATGTGGGAAAAGTGTAGTAAAGAAACAACTAGAAACGAAGATAGTCTTGCCAACCTTCATGGGAATGCAACTTGGACAGTACAAAAAACTACACTTACCACCAACGACTGATTTGATTGATTGATTGTTGGTTAATCAACGTCCAGTGGCATATAGTCCATGCATGTTCAGGATGAGAACAAATTAACAATGAATACAATAGGTATAGGTCATATAAAGAGGCCGCCCGGGATGAAGATCGGGGACAGCTGGACCGCCACTGGAAAATGAGGGTATACTGAATAGGGCCAGAAATTGTGCCTCGCAATAGGCTACCTACGGATCCCTAAAAAAGAGTTGTTGCAAGGGTTCTTAACGTGCAGAACGCGTGGCATTCTCTTTACATGATCATAGGATTGAAAGGTTCCATTCTGACCGGACGAGTCTGTGTACTTGTAGATCCGGCACAGTCAAACGGATGCCCCACTTTTGCGAAGGTTTTACTGCATGCCGGTCAGAAGAAGACCAAAGTGACAATATTTCTATTCCCCAGTTACCCTTGGGGTCTCCTCCATAAAAAAGACACTCAATCAAAGACTACAACGAATAGCATCTGGTCCAGAAAGCCTGACTTTATACAGACATGCGGGATAAATGAGTTTTACGCGTGCTCAAACCTAGACCCTTTGACAATCTCCGGCATATCAAACACACAATAAAACAACCTGCAACCAACATTTTTATCACTTACTTGAAAAAAGAAATTAAAGACGGCGCATAATTTGGAAAACTAGGTTAAAATGTGTCCGCTTTACTACAGATAGCTATCTACGAAAGTCACAGTTGTTGCTTGAATACAGTCGCTTAAGAAAACAAAAACTACCAAGATTGTGGACTCAAAAGAAATATAGTTACTAGTAATACCTAACGTGTATAAGCCTTGTCACAAAATCTTGTTATTTGCATGATGATTGTGTTCTAACTGTGAAGATTTTCTGTCTTAAAAGTTAAAAGTTAATCTTTTTTTACCCCACCATATATCCATGTACCTGTGCCAAGTATGGAATCTCATCAGTGGTTGATTAATGACATATCCGGTATGTTTGATTTAAAGATGATAAGCTGTTTAACGTCAAGCGGTAAATCAAATGCATATTCAGGAAGATATCGTGTTAATGAAATACGAATATTAACCCTGCTGTGTAGTACATGTAAACCGACACGCTGCATGAGCCGAATTTTTAACGTTCTAGTTCACGAGGTAATAGTCCATAGGAAGACATTTCACCTATACGGATACATTATTCTCCGAGCCAACCAGTCTGCTCTTGCTCCTTAATGTCTCGTGCCGGGGTTCGTGTGGTGCTGTCTCATTGATGTTTACTCCACATCTTTCTGTATTCAGCAGCATTAAAAGACTCTATAAGATTGATTGATTAGTTGTTGGCGCACTTTTTGCCCACTTGGCAATAGTCATGGCGGTCAGCTTTTATTGGTTGAGGAAGCCGGGGCATACTCTATTAGTGACAGGTTTTGAAACATGAAACCTTGCTATCATCGATCTGAATGAAAGGATATGTGGAATATATATCAATGAGACAGCAACCCAGCAACACACACAACAATCCAAAATACTTCTATAAGTCAACATACGGTCCTCAACAATATACAATTGTCTTTACAATATGTCAAGCGTGGTGGTCCAAGTCTATAGGAAAACTGTGAGTAAATTAAACAGAGACTATCAAAGATCTGTCATCAACACCCAAAATTCTTTAAGATATAAATAAAGACCGTTATTGATGAGTTTCATGACATAGGACAGTCACGTGAACTCGAGAGAGGGTTACACCAGTCAATCTTTCTTACCAATTTAACGTAAATAAAGAAATGAAATAAACCTTAATTCAAGATCAAACATTTAAGTTGTAAATTATTTATGATACGACAAAGTGATTAGCCTAATTCTTTTAACGTTATAAATTATCATAATATTTTGTTATTGTCTTTTCAATTATGCATCATTTGTTTGTCTTACCATTTTGTATAAGTCGTACAGTCTTGGAAAAGTAGTATACAAAACGTACGTATATTATGTGTGTATATATTATAACTTAATAAAATTGAGAATGGAAATGGGGAATGTGTCAAAGAGGCAACAACCCGACCAAAGAGCAGAAACAGCCCAAGGCCACCAATGGGTCTTCAACACAGCGAGAAAATCCCTCACCCGGAGGCGGGCTTCAGCTGGCCCCGAAACAAAAATATGTACTAGTTCAGTGAAAATGGACGTCACACTAAACTTAGACTTCTTAATATACCACTGTGTTGGCTGTTATTTGTTAAAGGTATTTCTAGTAGTTTTTTGGTATGTTTGGTATTTGTTCCGAATCATTATTTTTCTCTGAAGCATGTTTTGTGGATTGCTATACATATTTTCGTCGATTTTCTTTTTGGTCAGGGTATTGTCTGCATATTCATTATCTCTCTCTCTCTCTCTCTCTCTCTCTCTCTCTCGCTCTCTCTCTCTCTCTCTCTCTCTCTGTTTTAATATAAGACAGACGATAACCGATGACAGTACAACACTTTAAAGTTAAATAAAAACAAACACCATAAATAAAGTTACATTTATGCTCCATTTAGCATACTGCATAACATTTATTAGTGTGACCATTTAATAAGAGGTTACATTTACTGTAGATCTATACCAAGAATTATCGGATAGTTTGTAAAGGAGAATTTTAACAATAGGAAGAAAGATTCACAGACAGTGAATCAACTATATTTTACATTGTAAAGACCTAAAGGGCGATAAAATGTAGATGCACTGACTAAACTACAGGTTACTGTGCGGGAAAAGACCAATATTGTAAAATTTTCTATTAGAGGTCCCTATATTCAAACCTAATGCGAAAAACGGGAATCTATGATTCGACGTACTATAAGCTCTACAAAGAATTAATAATTTGCCACTGGACGTAAAGAAAACATATCAATTACAATCAATCAATCAATAATTAATATTGTTTCAAAACCAAAAAAAAAAAAGATAGCATCAATTGGGTCAAAATTTAATCACAAGATTCCACTTGCAGGAATGTAATAAAATATATATGTTACACACTGCTTTTTATGTTTCTATCATTTATGCTAAAGCAAATAGTGTAGGAATTGTCCTGCAATCCGTCTCGTTTGTTTTAAAAAGATGATAATAATCCTGTTTTGTTAAAAGCATAGATACAACGTCTGGTAGTTTAGGGGATACATTCTGAGTATAGTTTGAAGAAGGGTTAAATCAACTTTTTATTTTTCAATTTTGAAGTTCCCTATAAATTTTTATGCACAATCACTTCTTCTTGCACTCTTTATGCCTTTGTAGTATGAAATATACTCTGAAAATGCAAACACCAGTTTGATGAGTAGGACGGCAGGAATTCTATATCAACAGGTTAAGCGTTTTGGGTTTGCTTTCAGGAAATAGTATGTGTTCTTTGAAACGGCATTATTTAGTGTCATGGTTAGTGTTGTATATGATACGTTTTTTATTACTGATATTTTTGTACGTCTTATGTACCTTTTGAGCTCGAGAAGAAAGTATGGCCTTGTGCAATGCCAAAATGTATGTACCGGTATGATCACAATGAGTTTAAACAGGAAAAGAGTAAAGTTAATCACATTTTATTATTGACATATTAATCAATTTCTTGTATACATATCCATGCTGAACTATCATTATAAAAGTTTACCGACCGGAGTTACTGGAAAAATTGTTAAACTCACACTATTGCATATTTTGTAAAAAGGTTCAAATGATAGAACGTTCATCAGTGTATTGGTATAATTTATTAAATACACTTTTATCAATCACTTTGAGATAGAGTATGTTAATATGGTCCAATTTTCCGTCATAAAACATCACAGATATTTGAAAAAAACGTCCGAAAAACTCTTGTATATACCATTTAATCGTCAAGGCAAACTTTTTTTCATTCTCAGTTTCTCCAAAAAAACTAACAATAAATCAATTATTCTGAGTACTAGTATTAACCACTTATTTTCTAAAACTTTTTTTGGTACTTTGTGAGCTATTTGCAGCAATAAATTTGAAGTTCAAGTAATTGAACTTTCGTGTGCCCTTCAGACAGAATACACATCAGATTAGAACGCCATAATAATACGACAAAAATATGATCAGCCTAAAATTTCAAATGTTAATCTATGATAATAACATTTAATGATATAATTTGAGCAATTTGATTTTTGCGATATGGTAGTGTGTGTCAACTCTTCCATGTATAACAGAGGGGCCAATTAGCCTAAAGCGCAAGTGAGAGAGAGTATATCTACACATAATAGTGCAATAAGAGGCCAGCGATAAAAGTGACCTGTCCCAGGGGCACGTAGAAGACATTCATTAAGAAATAAGGATTATTGAACAATAGATAAAATATAATTAATGACCGATAGTTGTGGATATATTTAGGGATAAACGAGTCCACAGCACAAACACTTGTTGGCATTGTAAGCAAGCAGTTGGTGGTCATTATCTGAACTAGATTTAACTATTTCCACAATTTGTGTATTTTGGAAAGATAAGAGGGACCGTTGATTAGTTGATTTGTTAAGGTTTAAATCGTCAACGTCTACTCCATTTAACAAAGAACGAACAGATCGTATCGATTTTACGCTGTTCGTATTGTTTCGTTGATTTTGAATGCAGTAACAGCTTGCTTAAAACTTTGGAAAGATTTATAAAAGTTGCGTGCGCAAGGAAGGCGGTATTTTTATATTCGACAACACGTTGCGAACATAACCACCAATAACATTGCCTTGGGATAAAAAGACCTATACGTCGCACATGGTTGACTCAAGAAAGAAAACACACGGCGATTAATATACACAGGTGAACTGTTTGTGAAGTGACTATTTTTAAGTGGGAACATGGCCACTTCACATCTTCTTATTTTTTTCTGTGCCACCGCTGGAAAAAACGGGGAAGAATTAGGAAATGATGAGGAACAGATAGTCTTGTTTGTTTACCTACTATATGATGTCAGTAATTGCAAGGTAAGTTTTTTGGTCAGGTAAAAATATTTCCCGCACTTCTCAGGTATTCTTCTTATACCCATCCGGTTATCGTTGAATGATAACACCACACAATTATGTGTATATAATTGACACGGTTTATAGAATCTTGTTTTAAAATTTCAAACATATCATGTCTTTGTAAATTTGTTAGATTTTTTAAATTAAGTCTTTTTCTTAGGTGTGAATTGTCTGTATGAATGAAAAGAAAACTCCACGTGGGCTATCTATTGATCAAGTAAACATCGAGAGATTTAATTTTATTGTGATACTTCAAAATCTGCTACCGATTCAAATTAGACCATTTCCGGATTTTTATATTGTTGAAATTGACCCAAAACGTTTGAAATGGACAATTAGATTTTATTTGATACAATATGTTCAACTTGTTTTCACTGCAAATGGTGGCGCAACTGCAAATTGTATGACGTGTTCAAATCAAATATAGGTGAAAAATATGAAAAGAATACATTAAAAGGCAAAAAACAAAAAGTTGCTGCACAATTTGAGAAAAAAAACGAGTTTAAGTAGTTTCGTAAAGTTGTTGATAACGTCTTATTATTTTGAGTCACAATATGTTTGTAATTTAACTGATTTTACAGGTTATTGCTGTCCAACAACATTATGTAAAACCTCAACCAAATGAATTATCAGAAACTGTCTTGACAGAAGATTGTAAATTGGAAACTGGTCTCAATGAAGAAGTCATTAAAAATGCACAACCTCTTGAAATCGTCTTGGACGAGGTGAGAAATAAATTATGATTTATTATTTACATACTACTTAATCATATTTACAAGCCACACGAGCTCAATTTGCGGAGGACAATTATTTACATATTGATATTATAATATGAATATGGATTATGATTTTGCGGCCCCCTTTATGTTGTACATGTATATATAGAGAGAAAGATATTATCACGTTGAAATGGATTGTGAAATAGAAATCCAATGCCACTGACAATCTGTTGCACCGCTTGTTATTGATTTTGGATAGATTTATTACTTTTGTATACGGCTATACAAAGCAACAGATGGAAAACTTTTATTAATTACGACAACTTATGAACAAAAATATCAGTAAAACCGAGAATTTGACGTATAAACTTGAGTTGTTAGAGAGGTCTTATAACAATATTGTATTAGTAATCTTGAGTTATGACAATTTTTTCTCTTAACGGAATCATATAAAACTCAATTGAACTACTAATGACTTCACTTATTTGTTGTTTTTTTTTTTGAAGTAGCCTATTTAAGGACTGGCCATCATGCAAATTTTTCGGATTAAAATAATCACTCATTCTTCAAATTATCTTGAAAAAGACACCGTTTGAATGTTATCGTTGGAAAATACACCAGTCGTTTTCCCAAGACGAGATTATTTTTCCATACACCTGCCAAATTCGCTATTACACAAGACATGACCCTATGTGAATTAGTCCATCAGGTCGTACTCCAATATATTATCTTAAAAACTGCGTTAAAGATTGTGAAATCTGTTAGTTTTAAATGTACCAGACGATTGGATTTTTTTTATTAATCATTTCAAGTCTTGAGTTTATTTTGAACTAAATTTAATTTTGTAGTATATATATATATCGAGATATTATCTGGTAATAATGATTTTTGTGCACCACTAGGCCCAATAATTGTCGAAAACACTCTGCCTTCAAATATTTACATTTTAAAATTTTCCCTTCTGTTTTCTGAACCTTGAAATCTACACTTATCAAAATCAAGACAATTTACAATCATACATTCGTGTTTATACTATGAGAAAATGTTAGATTTGACAGAGGACCGGTGAGCTTTCAATGGATAACTGATCGACAGGTCTTTTAAATATGTAGTACACAGTTATTTAATCATTGTATACCGAAACAAAGTGATACAAGTCAACTAACCGGCACCTTGTAATTATCTTGACAAATGTAATAGTTTTCTTTCGTCTATTTTATATCGTCTATTTTCTGTGCAAAATCTGTTTCATTCTAAGGAGTTCATTTAACTTTTGAGGGTGAATTGCCGTACACAGATATATGTAAAAATGCATACAACAAGACTTAGAAATGGATAAGTTTTCCAAATATGTACTAATTACACCCTTTTTGCTTTGGGAACTTTTTGAAACAGACCTCAAAGAATGTCTGAACTTCGTGCTTAACCCACCTACATTCCAAAACACCCCACTTCTGTTGTCACATGTGTTTGTATCATGAATTTGGAACGAAAAAAAATACTGGAATGTTATTTTTAAAAGATTTTTTTTATTTTTCAGTTCGAACGATTCTTGTCAGCCAAAGGTGTTCATCCCGAAAATGGCGGGAAATCATTTTGTTTATTAACCGATGGACAATCACATTTAAGACAATGTTTACACCCAGAAACATGTACAAAGAACTACAGTTTACCAAGTTACTTTTCAAAATTTTATGATTTACGGAATGAATTCAAGAAATATTACAAAACAGACAATATACAGAATATTAAATCGATGTTAGATTGTATCCTTTTTATCTCACATTTGTATGGGTAATGTGTGTATATATATAGAGGGAGCTTTGGAACAAGAAGGGTATGTACTCGGCTATTTTGCTTAGTTTAAAACGTGTTCTGATTCAATTGCAACCACGTTTGGTTGTTAGTTGGTAAACGTTCAGTGGTAAATTTGTTATGAATGGTGTTCTCTGTAAGAGTAGCATGCAGACTTGTTCACTATTAGTCCTACATTTCAGTTGTTTTGTGTCATACGTCCATATTTTTAATTCTACAATAACTGCATGGTGCAAATGTCAGTTTATTGATTTAAGTGAATTACCTGATCACGAACAGATGCTTTTAATATTACCTTTTTTCAAAACTTTGAAATTCACAACTTGAAGTTTTTGTAATCATATATAAACATTACATGTGTGCGTAGTTTTATTTGAAGTGCTGTTTGCTTAGGCGAGTGAACATATTAGCCCCTTTTAAATACCAGAAACGTCTCCAGAAGAAAGAAATTCTATAATTTTCTTTAAATATTTTCATACAAACTTAATTTATGTATTTAAGTGTTTTAAATTGACTAATATGATGACTAAATATTCATTCCTGTTTCGCACTGGAGGACATCCATTAATCCTACTAAAGTAGATGTAATACTACATACATTTATCAATTATCTTGTGGTTATTTTATGTAACATGTTGATATTATATATATATTGTAATGTCCTCCCCCTTCTTATCGAAGAAACATAGACGGATATGGGACTCTCAAGAAAGGGGAACCAGATGTGTATACCGAAAAAAAGTCTGCAGGGTAGTTAAAAACATAAAAAAGTATTGAAAACACAAATTGTCTGCCAAAAGGTGTCTCTCTGGGATAACACACGTCTGGGTAAGGAATATCAACATTGCGGAAAGTTTCAAGTTTGATTAATTGTCAAAATGACTGAATTTCTCCAATATTTTGGTAGATGTGTAAGTTGTAGACACGGCTCTCTACACTGTCCAATTCAGGATTTTCAATTCGTGAAAAAGCCAAAGGTATTTCAAGGTCATATGTATTATTATTTGACGTGATCGCCTCACAGGGGGTAGGGATTGAACCTAATGCCTATAGATCTGATATATTTATATCATATACTAACGGGGTTTATTAAAAACTTGATTCATAAACAAATCATCAATGTCTGTATACGTGTTTCCAGTACCAGGCGATGTATAGAATTTTATCTACCATCACAAAAGCTTTCACCCAGTCTATTCCGGGTAGATGTTTGATTAAATTGTTTGTAATTGTATCATTAATGTACCCGACGATAGACTATTTTTGTAAATTATCTAAATATTGGGTAAACCAAAGATAACGATAAACGTAAAGTGGTCATATTAAAAGGCCAGCTCGTAGTGTATTCAAAGAAGTTTACCATAAATAACATAAGAAAGCTTTTAAGACCTCTATATACATATATATCTTAATTAAAAAAATATATATATCCCGGATAACCAACTAAACATGTTGAATGTGCACTGGGCATTCAAAGAACTCAATATAGGTTGTACGGGTAGTGTGTTTGTGGTTACTAATTAATTTCTAAATGCCCCAAATTGTGTAGGACGTTAAGGAACCATCAATCAATCAATCAATCTCAAAAGTTGTCAGCTTAGACACTGGAATGAAATTTCTACGATTTTCGAAATGGACTATATAAGCAAGTTTATTGGTTGTGTAGTATAAAGACAAAAACAAGTTAAGTCTACCAATAAAGACATATACATGACTAGGTATGGTGATTTATGATGTAAATGAAATATTAAGGCCCTAGGGCTGTTGTCACATAGACTTTACTGTCATAGATCTGAAGTAGCCTAAAGCTATTCCATAATATTCATAACCTGTCCTACTTTTCACTAGATCATCTTGTCTTTATGTGGTTCTTCATGCTTTGTAAAAGAGGAAAAGTAAATTTAATATTGTAATGTCCCCTATGGCCTTTTAATATACAATTTGAAAAGAATATTTTTAAGATGAGTAACTTGTCCGTCGTGAGGTCCTTTGTTTTAAGTTGTATATATAGTGCTTGTACCTGTTAAAACAAATTAACTTTTAAATACAAGACGGTTAAGATATTGATTTTTGAAGATCCAAAACAAAAGCTTTGGACCTTGCTTTTTGAAAGTGAATAACCTTTGCCTTTTATAGAAGAACAATGCTATACCCAGATGTATTGTTTAACTTTTATCTTCAATTTCATCAAATATATTGCGTTCCTAATTTGTTTTGTTATTGACCACCTTCAGTGAAATTAGCGTGACTTATGTTGATTTTTAAAGATATTACATACAAAAACTTTGATTAGACTAAAACATATGAAAAGAATTTTGACTTGGTGGCAAAGATCGCTTATTTTCAAACTTTCTCCTTCATTTGTCGTCTTTTCATTGTGATCTTGTTATTCAAAAGAAAAGAAAACACTATACCGTGCTATTGTTCAGATAGTCTTTAAACAAAAGGTTACATTTTAGTCTCTAAACAAAAGGTTATGTTACACGATCAATTAGATAAGTCTTCTTTAAATTCTTTTGAAGAGAGAAGAATGTCTTTTTTTAGTTAAAATAAAAGTGTATGATCACTGACAAATAACTTCGAGTTGTCAAAATAAATAATGAGCAAACTTTTTGTTTGGGTCAGATCATTGAACATTAGATATACGAGGATACAATTAGTTTTTCGTCCTCCGTTTACCACAGTAAAGTTAACCTTAACCTATTTGTTTTTTAATTTATTAGTTTTGTATTTGTTCATCATTTATTCCTACTGATTTCCACTACAGATTTACCAACCGACAAGGGAGGGGCATTAAATGAACCATAATTGAATTAAAATTCTATAAAATTGATACACAAAGCATATAGTCGGCAAATAAATACATTTTGATTAAATTTCACGCTTCGATAAGATTTTACTTTATTTTTACAGGCCCCACAGCTGATCAACTACATCGTTTATAAAAACTGAATTTTCTTAATTCTTTGAATAAATATTTATGTATATTTTGTATTGTTTAGTAGGTAAATTTTTTTTTTGTCCAATTGTAATCTTCTTAATGCCTTAAACCCCTTAAAATTCCTTATCTGAAGCTAGTCACACGTTTATCAATTGTTTGAAGTGTTTCAAATGATTGAGAATATTTATATAAAAGCAATGTTGATTAAAAGTTTGGTATGTAATAACTATGATGGATCGAACGTCTTTTACTTATTTAGGTTTGTTTATATATTACGGTTTACTTTTTTTCGGTCACATTCCGATCCCATTGAAGGAATAGTGCAATATCAACTAATTGATACTTCCAAAGGCTGCTCAAGTCATTAACTATTTATGTGCGATTCCGATGACTGTGGGCTACATCTTTCTACTATTTCCTGCATAAGAAAACAACACATTGTCCCCTCCCTAAAAATTTCCAACTATGTCTAGTCCTTTAACTTACTGACTTTTCTACTGAGTGATACTACTCGATGTTGTTTTTTTTATAACTTTTACACATGAAGGCATCTACCATATTAAAATTCTTTACAATCTATACTTTCGATTTCACGCTTCATATTTAATTGAGATGTGAAAATGTTTCATACTTTAATTGAACGCCCAACAACCAAATAAACATTCTAATTTCGTTCGTCTTACACTGCAATATACACATTTCCTTAACCATGTTCCCAGATTTAGGCTTACAAGAGGATCATTCTGTAGAATATGGTGTTCGACAGTGCCAAGAAATGGCTAATATTATGCATCGACTTATAAACGATGGTAAGTTTTAAAATCATTCCTATTTAAAATTGATTTTGATGTCGTTATATTAATGGAATCTGTATTTATCATAATACATTTACATTTTGATTAGGTTATATTGCACATCATAAGAAGGAAGTGTATATGACCATTAAACTAGTTCGGTTAAAGAAGAGTAACTTGACAATTAATGAGGTGGACATTACTGGAGTCCTAGGATAGACAGGACGGTCTTTCATGGTTTAACAAGCATAGTACATTGCAGCCTATGTTCATATTAACAACATCAAGCTCATTCATGTTAATTTTTGTCAGCATTTTTGTTTGTGTTTTTGAAGATGGATTGATAGAAAAATATTTGTTGGTAACAACTTCTTAATAAAGACTTCTCTATCACGTCTTGTACAGATATATATCTTAAAGTGCTGAAATGTGTTAATAAAGGTCGAAGTTGTAAAATGTTCAGTAATCTTTATGGGTGTATTCCAGTCTTGCTTTGGTCATCGATTTGTTTCTGGTCTTTGGGCCGTGAAGACCAGATATACCTTTATTATATCATCAAATCAGCACTTTATTGTTATCCTTGTCGCATCTCGTTTACACAATGAAGTGTTGACGTGAGGTGTTTTTGTTGATTTATTTCTTTGTACATAGCTATATTGATGTTGACACAAAACAAATGCTTTTCTCGTGGATTATAAGGCATTATCTACTTACCTACAAGATTAATTTGATAATAACTATTTAAAATTTGTGATGTGTAAATCTATTAAATTATAAGTTTCATGTCCTACAAATATTTGTCTTTTTTCTTAATTGCAATTTTTTCTTTACAGGCCATGTGTTCAATAGTCCAGAAGTTGTCAATGAGAGATTAGAACCAGGGATCTGGTATGTGGACATTTTTGGGGTGCAAAATCGGTTAATTATGCATGAAAAATAAACATACTTAGAAAATATAAAAACTCAATATTACATGAAAGGCGTGCACACTTCAACTGTGTACTCGAAAATGTTATAATTATATGATCTTGTATGTCCCATTGTTTTTTAAATAACTCTCAGTTCACTTTATTCTGTTTTTTTTTACACTGTATCATTAGATGGTTTAATCAATGAATTTTCCCCGTATATCGTTTTGCTATATAAATCCTTGGTTTAACAATTAACGAATTGTTTTAAACTGATTAAACTCAAAAGAAAATTAATGTGTTGATAAAATTAAAATTAATAATTCACAAAAAGGAAAATATTTATGCAATTCTTAACATATTTGCCATCTGTGTATTTTGCTGAAGGACAAAATGCAAATATATTTATCGTAAAACATTTTTTGATGGAATACATTAATGATAGATAAAAGAAAAATATGTTGCCCCAAGCTTTTACATATATGTAAATATGGATAGCAAATCTCCGGATACCTGAGATGTTAGGTTCAACAGAAACTGCTATAAGCTTCCGGACAATTGTGGTCTGAATAGAAAGCTTTTTGTAAATACAAGATACTAAGTCCGTCGGTTTATTTACTAACGGACTCGGGGTAACAGATCGTCAAATAATTGAAACTTCCGAATCACTTTTATTAAAGGCGGTCAATAAACGTTGGTGACATATTGAAAGTTTAAGTCACCACATTTTATTATCTTCAAAAGATCGAACATTTCATTTGAATTAATTAAACACGAAACGTCAAACTACACGGTAAAATGTTCATTTTATGTTTTTAATTAGAAATCTGTTACACAAGCGTTCCGATTCGTAAAAGCGATTTACACAACAACCACTTTTCAAAACTAATAACATATTTCTTGATTTTTTTAAAATACTCTATGTTTTTGGAAGAATTTTTTTTTCTTTATTCATTCTTTTGTGTAAAATAGCCTGTATATTAGGCAGTTCCTTTTATTTATATTAAGACATAGTTCATTACAAATGTACTTTTTTGACATTTTTACCATTTACCAGAAATCCACACAAGAAAATCCCAACTATATCTGCATTTAAAAAACACACTGTACTTTCTTGTTAAAATCTTGTTTTCACAAGCAGTTCAATTTTCGTTTACAGTAGTAAAAGTGATCTTGTAGACGACGAATCAGTAGTCCGTGCACGTGGGTTGCCATGGCAGTCATCAGACCAAGATATTGCCAGATTTTTCAAAGGCCTAAACATTGCCAAGTATGTATAGAAATTGTAGTATTTCCCGAGTTAAGTTTATTTAGGAATAACATCCGTTTCAGCTTTTAAGTGTAATTACTATTAATCGACGTACAAGTCCGTCTGACAGATAATCACATAATACGTTTTGAGTAGACATCCTGGTATTGAGACACTTCAAAAGATTATCTTTTATTTCTTTTATACCCCAACACACAACCGTTGAACATATTTCATTTACCGCAATGACTAGCATGGAGACTGACGCAAATAGGTAATTTTTTTATTTTCTCCGGTAATCATAGTTATATCAGTTAGGAGCTTGTTGTAAGTGTTGTGTTCAGTTTTAAGATTTTTGTTTATTAACTTTGTGGCATTACGTTGCACCGTTGAAATGCAGGGAGAGGACACTCACCTTGTGATGAACTTGTTTAACTTAGGATCCTTCAATCGAAAAATTAAATGATCATTACATAAAATGCATATGATGTAATATTTAATTTGTTTTATTATGGTGTGCGATGCACATTAATTTTCACGGCCCAGTAAACTTTTTTTATCAGGATGAAGTCATACAATAAATTTGTTCAACTTGATCTGTATATAAATACATGTATGTATGATATATGGACATACATGTATGTAATCAAATGGTTTAGTAATCATTTTAAATCTTTGAATCGTCGTTTACAGAGGAGGAGTTGCATTATGTCTGAGTCCCCAGGGACGGAGAAATGGCGAAGCACTCATCAGATTTGACGACGAAATGAACCGTGACCTTGCCCTTAAGAGACATAAACATCACATAGGACAAAGATATATTGAAGTATATAAAGCTACAGGGAAGGACTTCGTCAATGTAGCTGGAGGTATATCTTCTGTTTTTCTTCACATAAAACTTCAATTTTTATATCAGTTTATAATATTTTAATCAGTTTATAATGAAGTTATTTTGCTCCAAAAGTTTATTCCAATCATTTTGCTCCAAGCATTTCGCTTCTAGTGGATTGAAATTTAGTTTCTTTCAGTCTGTTGATTTTTTAAAGACTTATTAATATGCAATCATGTATGAACAGACTAACTAGCACACATTTAACAGTACATATTATAAAAAAACAAGTAGGATGTTTTAATGTTATTGTATTCTAAGGAAAACAAGTAGGATGTTTTAATGTTATTGTTTTCTTAGGAAAACAAGTAGGATGTTTTAATGTTATTGTATTCTAAGGAAAACAAGTAGGATGTTTTAATGTTATTGTATTCTTAGGAAAAGAAATCACAGGTTTGCATGGAAATTATAAAAAATCTTTTTATCTTTTTCGTAGGTAGCAATACAGAAGCCCAAGCATTTCTGTCTCGAGGTGGCCAGATAATCGTACGCATGCGTGGATTACCTTTCACAGCAACTGCCTCGCAGGTGGTAAGTAATTGATTGGTGTTGGAGCTTTTTGCATGTATCTCTAAATTACTGAAGTCGGTCAGTCTTTGAAAAAAATTAGAAAATGGATATTATGAGGTTTATTTTTAACATCAATAAGACCATAGGAAGAAATTTGCCATTGCCTATAGAGAGGCTTGTTAGACCTAAATGTAATGTCCACTGAAATAATTTGATTGTCAAACTATATTTAAAAAAAAAGATGTTATTGGAATACATATATTTAAAATACAAATTGGTCCTAATATCAGGATACTCATGGATGAAGGGTCAGGCACATTATGGATGCACTTTGTCAATGAGTTTTTTAGAACCAAAGAAAATCACATAAAACATACAGAGCATTTAAATCTTGGTGTGGGTTTTGCAATATGATGCAAGGATTAAAATTTGTTTTACAAAATAACTTAATGCGTTTTTCAGCTTTTGGTCCGTTAGCTTAAAATGCTATGAAAGGTAAGTTGATAAACAATAAACAAAACGTGTGGAGGAAGGTAACAGGAATAGTCAACGGTTAAACGTGTTTGGGGTCGCCATATTGGGAAAAATTGGTGACAGTGGTAAACCAATTGTATTGCAAGATTTAAAACGGTGCGGGGCAGTAGGTTGCAGGCTATTGTAACTATGGAAACTTCCACCTAGGTGTGGAGTTGGTTATAACCATTATAATATTTTGGGTGCCCAGGTAACGGATTATGTATGTTAAATAAATCCTTTTACATAATCTAAAACTCACGGACATCTCAATGGCATTCAATTTTACAGTTTGTAAAGTTTCCCCAATAAAGCAGTAGGCATTTTAGTATCAAGACATTTTTCACTTTTTTCTAAGTTCTTCATTATTCGCATGTTGAAATTATTAAGTATTCGTTTTACCATTCCTGGAGAATATACACTAGACTATAGTGTGACATGATTTTCGTCTAATCTAATGCATTTGAAGGCACTTCTAATCATTTATAATCAAGCATGCTTTTACAGTTTCATGTTTCCCCCTTTTAAATAATCCTCAAATATTCTGTAGTTGATAAATCTTGACAATCAAAAGTACTGTTCAGAACGAACCTTACTTCGACATTTCTGCAGATCATGTTTGCTTTTTAGAACCCCTATTTCCATTGAAATTTTTAATTCAGGTTTGCATTGAGATGTCCGGTTAAGTCACTTGGTAAAGAAAGTCGCTTTTACTCTGCTGCATGTTGGTGTGATTTACAAACATTGTCTTCAAACTTAATATGTACAAAGCTATGAGCTATTTTGTGTCTTTGCGCTTCCAGCTAGAGTTCTTTGCCAGGGAGCCACACGCATCCAATGTCCTAGATGGAGAGGAAGGTATACTGTTTGTTCACTATCCTGATGGAAGGTCCACTGGTGATGCTTTTGTCTTGTTTGATACGGAGGATGAATCGAACACAGCTTTAAAGAAACACAGGGAAATCATGGGAACTCGATATATTGAGTTGTTCAAGAGCACCGCAGCTGAAGTTCAACAGGTATTAAAAGAGTCACCATTTAAAAGGAAGTTAATCAATACAATTATGCATAAGTTATTATGATAGGATATATCAGCAGCAGATTTTCTGTTAATGATTGATACTAATGTGTGAAATATTAACCAGTTAGAATTATATAGTCATTGGTGCAGTGCATGTAACACTAACATTAAAACATTCAACTTTTATAAAAATATATTGTACTTTGTAAGACTTTTTTACGGTTGTTGTAAAATGAAGACGAGTATATTGTGATTTCAATTTTATAGGTGTTGAACAGGAGCATGGACCCACGAAACCCGGAGCCAGTTCTTGAAACACAATTACCTCCTCTGATAGCCCAGATTCCACCACCAAATTCGCTTCCATACATTCCACAAAATATTATAACAAGCGGAACGAAGAAGGACTGCATCAGATTACGTAATCTCCCATCAACATCACAAGTAACAGATTTACTCACATTTCTTGGAGAGTTTTCACAGTTCATTGTATACCAGGGAGTACACATGGTCTATACAGCACAGGTTGGTATTATTATTTTGTTTTTCATTCTTTATTTTGTTTTTCATTCACATGCATAATATGTATATCTATAATCACCTTTATTACACATTTTAGATTATAAAATCTTTAGATCAACACAACGAAATCATCCTCTCATTAAATCACCTTCCTTTAATGCCTAAGGCCAAAAAATATATATGTGTTAAATTCACATGATGAACAAAAATAAGGTCACTAGATAGGGAATTATTTGATTTTACATTTTTCACCTTTGAGTCTACCGGCAGTCTTTGTGACTAAACGTCTGCTTAATGTAAAATTGGTAAAAAGCGTAGGTTAAGGGTTAGCAACCAGATATTGACATTTTATTCCGCAATTTATTTACATATATATATATATATTGATCTTTGTTGTAGGGTGAACCTTCTGGTGAAGCTTTCATTCAGATGGATTCAGAAGAGTCTGCCGCTTTGACAACCATTAACAGAAGTAAACGAGCAATGGTACATGCAAACAAAAAGCGAGTTATAGAAGTTATTCAATGTTCTGGAGAAGATATGAATCTCGTTCTGACAAATGGTATACCAACTTTACCTCAACCTGCAGCTCATCTACAACAGCTATTAGCACAACATCGTCCAATTCTATCACCGAGTAAGATATCTCATTCTTGTTTTTAAAATATTTTTTGAAATTTCTTGTTGAATTTGTGTTTTTTATAAGTTGAGTTGTGTCCATGTCAAAGCTCTATATATTAGAAGTTAAATTTAACCATTTATTGTTGCAGTCTAGATGGCTTACTGTCGGTTTATATTGTTTGTTCTTCTAAAAAAAATAAGCATTAATTTGACTTGTACAATTTTATTTCAGGTGCACCCACGTTAATACCACAGCCAGTTTCAACAATGATGCCATTTGCTCAGTTTCCACAGCCACTGCCTGCAGCTTTTCCAGGAGCTATGCCTGCCCAGGCCTTTCATCAACAACGACCAGCATTCTATCCACAGATTATATACTGGTACCCAAGTCCTCCAATATCACCACAGACTTATCTTACTAATACAGGACCCGCAGTTATAGTCATGCGGGGACTGCCTTTTAACGCTACTGTTCAAGACATCTTGAACTTCTTCCAAGGTTTTCCAGAGGTATGTCTTCTTCCTAAAATTTATTTGTTGTATAAAATTATGTGTTTACTTTTGGATGAAACTGTCTTGAATATTCAATCAAGCATAAACAAATTCAAACCATTTTGCTAATTCTGAAGACAAGTATTTTTACAGAAACCTTTGGAATACCTCATAAAAATGGAAAGTATATATACTGTGTGGTTTTGACTATACTTAGAGCACTTATATTTATATACACTTTGCTTTTTAGTCTATAGTTTGGTTTTAGTATTAATTTTTTACCTGCAACTAACCAGAATTGATAACCAATACCGATTTGCTTGACAGTTATCTTGAAGAAATGACATTACATTCATCTTGTTTAATTAATGACATGTAATTTAATTTAATGAAGAAAAAAAATCAAAACTATTTCCAAGTTATTTTTAAAAAAAAAAAATTAATCAGAATTCACACTTCTTTTCTATTGTCATTTCTTCATATGTTTCTTGAACACAAAATTAACATACTGGTAATACCAGACAGTCTTTCTAGTATCTTCCTTAATATATATTCACTAAACATATGTAGCTAGATATAAATTATGCTTGTTTTATATATTTGAAAAAAAAACAATCTTTCTATATTCTATGAAAAACTCTCTGACATTTCATTCTGAATGAGGTGAAATTTTTTAGGCATCTATACTACTGTGCAACTGAACAAAATGTGGAAACTATATGTATATACTCTTTCAAATGATTATTGAAGTTTGTGGTCTTTACATAATTTCAAAATTGAAAAATATACCATCTCCGAAATCCATTTGCATTCTGTAAACGTTCAGTGCTCACGTTGGTCAAATGGTGGTAATCAAGTTATCTGCTAATAACAGCATGATGCACAGAAAATTTTCAAATCTGTTAATTGAAAATCAAATGGAGCAAATCAATGCATATACAAACTTATTTGCATCCCGGGACAAGTTATTGTGCTCTTAAAGAATTATGATTGCTTCCTTTAATAAAGATCTAGCAACTGTAAAATCATTTGTAAGTTGTTCTGATAAGGGTCCCATAAACCAATGAAACTGGAATCGGTCCAAAATGGACTGGAATGAGAAGATGGTCTATTAATTTAGAAAGTTACATATTTCAATCACATACTTCAATAATGCATATAAAACCAAGAAATTTATGATTTTGGCAGCAGAAATTTTTTGTTTTGTTTGCAAACACCTCTCCAGTCGGGTTGGAAACTAGGTTAGCAGTATGTTACTTTTGAATGACAGAGTAATCTTTTCTCATACCTTCAGAAACTTCACAAACACAATTTCTTTAGAAACTAATATGATATCTGTTGAGCAAAACGGTCTTAGTTGATTATTTGTGTTTCTATTTTTTTTTTTTAGAAAAGTTCTTTATTTAACATCACATGAATTCATGAAATAACAATTAATCAAACGCATCTCACTTTAGTAATTTTAATAAATAGATCATATCATTCTTAAAAAGTTTTAAAAATTCAAGAATAATTTGCTGATATGTTTTTATAAGATATATAAGAAGATCGTACAATTTATTAACTTAATGAAAAAGATAAATCCAGAAATAAGATAATGAAATATAGAAATAAAATATGTGTTCAGTAGATTAACTTCTATGTTTCTTTGAAACGACGGTATGTAATTTTGATTTGTTAGTTCTGTTATAAATTTCTTGTTTTCCGCCTTGCAGGTAACACCCGAAGGTATACAGATACAATACACACCAGATGGTAGATCAAGTGGAGATGTTCTTATAACTTTCATGAATAGATCAGAGGCTGAACGTGCAATAAATACACTTAACAAGCAAACTATAGGACAGTTCATCATCGACTTAATCATGGTGTAGACCCTCATGTTATTTATAAACATTTTACATTCCATAGGATAGACTTTTCAGACATTTGAATTTTGTTTTTGTATGAAATGTTATATATGATTCATAGTATGTGTTGCATATTTATTTTTGTTTCTGTTGAAATAGTTAAGCTCATTTTAGTGCTAAGTAACAGATTTTCCTTTCTCAAATTAGACAAGAAATGTACAAGTATATTAGTTTCTTTTATTCATTTTTGTAGAATTTCAATATTGTTTTATTTATAAAAATTGAAAGTTCATTCTTTATATGCAGCACATACTACTTTTATGAGTCGTTATCTTGCCTGTCTCTCATCTTTAGATCTGTTGTTTATGTGTTTACTGCTTCTGGCCATTTGTTTATTATTATTATAATATCTTTAGTGCAAAACAATTTTGGGATACATAAAAGTATTTCTTTTCAAGTAAGCTTAATTATATGCAGTGCCTATGTTGAACATTATTTCGACAGAACATACTTTGTGAATTCAAAAATATTCTCGATTTTCGTAAATTTTGAATTTAAACATTTGATATCATTGACGAGTAGTCTTAGTGAATAGGTTGTGACAAAATGGTAGTGCTTTTTGGAGTCATGAAATGGCCAGATGTATTTGTTTTTGTGTATATTTTATTTGTTTTATTGTTGATATTTTGTTGAGATTTTATTTTGCATGCATATTAAGTGCCTTATTGCGATATTTAATGTCTTTCAATTGAGATCTGAGAGGTATATGAAGCTCAAGTTCTTCCAACATATCATTCAACATTCCATGACTTGTACGCCAGGGTTACCCACTTTAGTGTCATCTATTATTAATTGGTGTTGCAAAATCTATATTTGATAATCAAACATTTACATGCGGCTAATTTGTGTAAAATATGCAAAGAATTTAATCAGGTCTAATTTTGAATCTTTTCATTAGGTAGTAGATATCCTAGCATCATCTTTGGAATTTATGCTTCATTTTAAAACTGTTTTGATATGCAATCTCTTCATTTGAACCAGACTGTATGTGTTCATTTTAGCCCATGTATGTACCGAGTCTAGTCAAATTACATTTTACATATAAGTTGTTAATGAGGAATACAGTGTATGCTTTCTTTCTAATTATTATTATTACTGTTGGTTGAACAATCTCCAATTTAGAAATATTCTAGGAGGGAAAATTTATCATTATATTTAATAGTTCCGCAAAGAGAGTTACCCATGACATTTGTAAAAAGTTGATTATGATTTTAGATAACATTTTGTTGATCTTCAACTGATATTGTTAGTATCTACGAAATATTGTTAAAAGTGCAATATAACTATTAATGCGTGTTTTTATCAAATAACACTTTCAAACCCTAGATGGGTATTTTGGTTTCGTTCTGACTAACCATAATTCTTTGAAATTTATGTTATATAAGATTTTGTTTTTATTTTGTATGTAATATACATGATGTACCTCACTTGATTGTAATTACTTTGTACATTGCTCTACGCAAATGATATTTGCATTGTATATACTATTGTATGCTAATGAATCATTCATTGCAATAAAAACATAATTTGCATATTGGTGGTGGTGCGGTTTTTGGCATTATGGTGGCGGCTTGTGCTTGGTTCTTTTTGAGCATTGGAATAGTGGGACATCACAAGAATCACATTTTTGATACTCAGTTATATAACACAGTTTGATTTGACAATAAGTCAACAACGTATGGCATTCAGCTGTAGCACGCCTTAATGATTCGGCCAGTAGCTTTTTTAGGGAATGGGATAGTTAACTATTTATTGTAGATATTGAAATATTTATTTAATTTATTTGTTTTAATAATTTATAAGCATTTTGTTTTAACGCCAAAGATTATAAAGTTTGAAATAACACAATTTTGACTGGTGACAGGGGAGTTTACTGCAGCAGAAGCACACATATGTTATGAAGCTTTTCTGATCCATCTGTGATAATATTTAAATATTAATTCAATAAATTTTGATATTTTTATATATCAAGGATTTGTTATAAATGAGTGACTGTAAGGTAATTCTTGTGATGGAACCTGTTCTACTCCAGATATCATATTGTGAAAAATAATTGCCAAAGGTGAAGGTTAAACCCTTAAACGGTTATGTTACAAGTACTGTGATTGGGTATATTTATAACTAATAGCATCCGAGGTAACGTGGGTTCAACGTTGTGTGTGAGGCAGATAATATTACACTATGCTGCTTGATAGGCAAGATGGTACGGTAACCCGTATGTGCCATATTTCACTCTTCTTCAATACTCATCTTTTGGGTCTACTTGTGCCAATCTTGCTCCTATCTTTGTCTCCAAACAGTAGCATTATACCATCTTGCTTGTATTCCCTCGTGTGCAATATACTATCCTTCATCCGATTCTTGGAGGTTGGGAGCATGTTGCTGGTGTTTATACTAGTCAGTTTATTTTACTAGATGCATGATTTTATTTATTTAAACACATCATTTTCATATTTTAATGTCACCTCTTAATATAAACATATCATATTTTAAGATTTTTGTTTTAACATATCAAAATTTATTAATTTGTTAATAGAAGGTAAGTTTAAATACCTTTTTGTGTTCTAAATTATTTTGTTAATATTTGTTTTCAAATTTATTATTGAATAAATTATGTCATTAAAAGATGACCTAAATATAATTCCCACATCTTCACCGTGTTCAGTGAAGAACTTCAAACGCAAACTCTATGCTTCATGAAGAGTATAACCGGAAAACGTCATTAATTCATATCTTGCAGTATAATATTGAATCCGATTCGTTTGTTTCAATTCATACAAATATTTTTTGACAAGTGTTTAATGGTTTAGCTTCATTTTGGAGGACGAAATAAACACGTCCGTGTATGAGAGTCGTGATCGGGTTTCCAAAATAGATAATAGTGGGCCAATATTTAAAAAAACCCGTGCCAAAATAATAAAGAATATAGAAAAATAGGATAAGAAAATAAATAATATAGAAAAAATAGGACAAACACATAAAAAATAGAGATCAATGGGGTGCTAAAATTTAAAGAATAGAGAATAATTGAAAGAATAGCGAAACATGACCATAAAAATTAAAGAATACAGAAACGAAAGACCCCCATCCAGAACCTCATACATGTGTTGCACCAGAACTAATGATATTCCGATTTGTTGAAGCCCAATCAAATTTTAAATGGCACATATCGTACAAATGTTGCTGTTATCATTTTTATTTATCAACTCAAAATTACGCCAAGGAAATCGTAAAAGTACAATGTATGTCACGGCTTGTAAAATTCGTCGTCCTGATTATTCTCTTATTTGTTGATATACTGAGAGTATCTATTTTGCATATGAGATTGACTTAGTCTCAATCTTGGTTGTATCTTTGTGTTAAGTAATTTTCGTTGTTCCTCATTTTCTAAAATTTTGAAATTTGAAAACTTCAAATGATTTCTGTCAGATTTTATCAAACATTGATGTATGACCCGCTACGCTATAACTATTTATCAGTACCCGGTATAGTCCTGAACATACATGAAATATTTGCTACTGGACGTTCAGCAAACACCAATCAATTGACCAATCAATCAGAACCCAGTAAAAACCATAATGGTTAAATTCATGTGGTTGCAGAGTGCCATGTATATTACTGAATTCCAGATCTAGACATGGACGATCTAGGTTAACTCTAATAACATGCAATATTTATATTTTTAAGTACCAATTGATAACGGTAATTAATGCCACTTACACCCTTTGCCAAGGACAATTGCCATAGGCAATTTTTTATAACAGCTGCTTCTCTGAAGTACCTTCGGATAATTACATGTGCTGTTTCAAATATTCTGTCACCCACTATTGTCCCATTTTCTCAATTTCTATGACAAGGCATATGATTCATTGACTTAACAGCAAAACCATCTTGTTGAAAATGAAAGAAAATATGAGACCTTGAAGAGTTTCAGTAATGAAAATGACAAGATCGGGTGATGTATATCCTAAGGAGAATTACATACCAATCATTTTTCACGACAATGTATACGTAATGTCTTTTATGCTAAAATCACTTCTTTTTAACTAGTGAATATTTCTTCTCTGATTTCCGGCGTAGTCACTTTATTTAAGACTGGGTTTCCCAATGGTCGAATCTGGGATGACCTAAGCGTAAGTAAAAAAAGGGAGAAAAAACTAAGAAAGCACTTGAGAGCCATTTTAGTTGGCATGAAGGGACAGTTTACTGTCGTACTCTGCTCTACTTTTATGCTACTTTACTGTATGTTAAGAAAAACACACAATGGACACTTGTGAGAAATCTGAACGACCCTCGATTGCTTGAATATCGAGGAATTGGACCATATCTCCCTATAACACACTAATGACAGTTTTTATTTAGATATACGAGTTGATATCCTTTTCTTTTTTTGTTGATTTGCTGTTCTGTGTTGTGGAATCTTAACGAATTACGTCTATATTCCACATCTCAAACAGGACACGAGGAATTGACATTAAAATAAAGATGGAAGAAAAAGAAAAAAAAAACCTAGCAAAAACAAAAAAATTCTATAAGACATAGTTCAGAGGGAAAATATCACTGGTGTACACACAAATAAAATTCGCAGTGTAATGCATGGGCAAAATCAATTGGAAATGGCTCGCATTCTTGCTGAAAATATACTTTTTTTTTAACATGGAGATGATGACGTCCGGTTCAGAAGATTGATTTACATATAAGATATCATATAGAATGTTGCACGACAAAGTATTTAACTATAAAAGTCAAAAGTTTTCCTACATTCCGTTTTATACTGAGTATAGATAAAAACTCAACACCTACATGTATTTTCCAATTGAAAAAAAAAAATCAAAGCAAAGGATCTTTGAAAGTACCAATCATAAAATATTCTCGATTTTATACCTGTCCGTAGACATGAGCCTATAATTCAGTTGTGGTCGTTAATTGGTTGTTAACTGCCTTGTTTGTTTTTAGCATACATAAGGCTGGTGTTTTTGTCTCTTCTCTGCAAAGTCATGAAGGCAAGACTCCGGATTGCTATTTATGATTTGGTCAGTTTAAGAGGAACCGCTAATGGTAGGCTAATGATATTTGGCATGTATTTGTATAACATCGAGATTAGCATTGGCACATCTCATTTCCATGGGGATTATTTAGCCCCGACCCCTTTGTCATGGTTTACTGGCTTTGAATATTTTGCATTATTTATTGACAAGGACAGTTTAAGGGAACTTCTGATGGTGAGTCAATGGTATTTAGTATGCAGTTGAATAAGCATTGGAATTTCCCATTTCCGCAAAAATTATTTTACAATTCGCCTTCAGTCATAAATCATTGACTCAATGTTTTGCATGTTAAAGTATTACCATTTCAATTTCAACATTTGCATTAAACTATCGAAATTACATACAGGCGAGGCATATCTCTGTGTCAACAGTTTATTTCTCTGTTGAATTTACATTTTGTCATGCTGGTGCTTGTATGACTTGCTATACGGTATTGGTTTTACTAATTTTTTAATAGGCAGTACTGTGTCCTATAGTTGTTTACATCTGCATCGTTTGTTGTCTGGCGAGATGTATTATTGGCAATCCATATTCTTATACCTTATAGCAAAGAGGTTATGTATTTAAACAATTATCATAATCATTGGCATTTAGTGCAGTGTGCTCACATCTATTTGACAACCTGTTTCCTTTTGACCCATATATGGCACATATTGTAAGTTTCGGAACTGAAAAAAAAGTCGATGCCAGATCTAGCTGTTAAAGTAACGTGTAGTCAAATGCTTAAGGAATGTCATAACAGAATTATTATGTACTAGTCAATTAAAAAAAGAAACCCAAGGTGGATTTGGAAGAATATATTTTTGCGTTCCAATTGGTACTCCGTATACATTCATTATACACAAGCTATAAATGTGAGCTACACACTAGTCGACTTCCTTTTAATTTAAAGTATTCAATTCACGATGTTTTGTTTAAGTATTTTTTGTTTAATGATCAGATAAATTTGTTTTTATTCTTAAACCGAACAACGCTTTAATATAAGAATAATAGCAGCGGTGAACCACAACGAGGCTACAGACATCAGAGTATCGTCTGCCCATCAACAGTTTGTAAGACGAGTTAATCCTCGGTATTTAACAACATTAACACGGCCAGTAAAACAATGGACGCCTATCAGTAATTATCAATCACGATGTTACTTGTAAACAAAATCTGATAGCCATTTATTTAAATCCTTTCTAAAATCTAAAGGGAAGATGCGAATCTCGAGGTGTCAGAATAAAGTACCGTGAATATTTGTTACCACATGCAGCTAATTGCTGAAGATATTTTTTGAACATGTTTAGGGGGAAAGGATCGATTCTACATGTTAGCTGACAATACTGAAATGATACTTTAATAGTACCTTCTAAAACTCATCCCCAATTGTACATTATATCCATTTTCATATTTTTTTTAAGAAGAAAAGACTTTTTTTTGTGCAACCCTATATCCATGTTGCCGGTTGCCATGAATACCAGTACCTCTATCTGTGAAATGGTACTATGTACGATATTTGTATTTGTATTTGTATGAATACAGATAAACTAGAATACAAGGCACCATCGAATAACCGACATTATTTCTTTAATTCATTTCGAAAGCGTAGACATGGAAGAAGGATTCGTCCTTCAAGCAAATCAATTCATAAAAGAAATGTATATGAAACAATACAAGAATAAGAATAAGAATAAGAATAAGAATTTTATTAGTTTAAAATCCAAACAATAGGATTGTTACTAAATAAACAAACCAATACAAAACCAAAACAAAACAAACAAACAGACAGACAGACAGGCATATTAATGACAAAACGATAGACATTAAACAATATAAACATGTATAGCATTGAAAAAAAAAAAAAATACAAGAGCGACAACTCGTGAAATTAATGTAGCAATCACAATGAGCTAAGTGTTGACAAGTTTGTGTCCT